TTTTTCATGGTAGTTATGCTTAAAAGAAATCTCATAATCCTGTACATTGGTGGCTGTATGTACCTATTTTAACATTCTGTATCAGTAAATACCTAATTCCTCACAATTTGAAGTGAATTAAATACTTAATAAACTCTGACAAAAGGAAGCTTGAAATCTTAAAACCTGAGTGAGATCTGACAGTCAAATGTGCTGCTTGTGAATATACTAAATCTATACTACACAGGTCAGAAATGTTCCATAAAGATTTCTGTTTTACCTCTTGTCTGTTGAGATTCAAAAGTGGCAAATTTAGAAATGTTATCCTCCAAAACTAGCCCGGATACTAATCATTCTCTTTCCAGCCCTGAAGATACAAATTTTTTAAAGAATATGTTAATACTGATATTAACATAATTAATATCAGTTAATTAATTCTAGCCTAGACCCTTACCTCCTCTACCTTTTAAATATGGAATCTATTCTTTAAAATAGCCTCAAATTATTTTGACATCTTTGATGTATTTTTTATGGGCTCTGAAGGAAAAAGACTGATGTGCCCTTTAGTATTGTAGTATAGGGTCTCAACCAGGAGCCCGTGAACCACTGCAATACCGGAAACTTTGAGGAGTTATCTGCATTCTATGCATTTTCCTGGGTGACAAATTCCTAGGATTATTCCGTCTCAAAGGGCCTGTGACCCTAAAAGGTTTAGAAGCTTTGCAACAATTTGTGCCATTCACTACACCTAATTAAAATAGTACTAATTTTGTTTTGCAGCTACCCAATTTCTTACACAAATCTAACTTCAGATAGTACCATACAAATACAAATATTACTAAAAGTTCTTTACTGGATGAGGAGGACTATTTAAAAAAAATTTTTTTTTAAACAATTTTTCTAAACATTCAGTTCAGTGAGAAAGCTATTATAGAACACTGGCTTTCGGAACAATGAAAAGAACTGAAAGACACTTTTTTCTCCGTTGTTTCTATGCTGGAGAAGCAGTCATTTTTTTTTTTTTTTTTCATCTGACTTGCTAGAAAAATCAATCTGCAAAAGAAAAGATTGGTTCTTGCTGGTTTATGTGATGCAACAGTTCTTATGAATATACAGCTAGGTCCAAGGAAGACTTTTCTATGGCTTTTTAAATAATTGAGCAACCTTCCTCTGTCCTCCTCACTGGCATCTTCCCACTCCTTTCCCACATTTTCCTATTTTCAGCCCAGGTTTACAGTTATTAATTGGCTTGGTGAGGTAATGCGCTAAGCTTTCTTGCTCAAGAAAATGGAATTGGCCTGCTTTGGTTTTAAAAAAAAAAAGCCACCAAGAGGGTAGTAGAGGAAATGATCCTCTAGGATAGGGGAGAAAAAATGTCACTGTTGTTGTATCAAGTTAAACAACCCACCCCACCCCCCCTTATAAAAGTGTAAGCTGTCAGCTACAATTTCAGTTTTAATACCGTGTTTCTAACTGGCATACTCCTACCTGCTGGTAATATAATTAGGAAAATATGAGCAGAGGACACTAAATATATAAAACAGGGAAAAGGGAAAGAATCTATGTCAAAAGGGACAGAAGTGGAGCCAAATGCCTTTGATTATCTCTGTGTAGCATTCTATTGGTAATAAAACGTAACTGAGACTTGTATTCTGACCCAATGAAAAAATACAGCATTATACTCATAATATTTAGAAAATGTATTCTTAAATCTTTCAAGCATATTCTGAAGTATTGTATATAAAAATTAAATACAACTCTAAACTCATACATTATAGAAAGAAGTAAAATTAAGTTTCTTAAATTTTAAACTATAGTCTTTCTAATGCCTAAAAGAAAAACTTAATTAGAAGACTAGATCACTTAATTTAAAAATGGTCATCTCACCAGCAGTATTTGAAAGCAAAAGTATATGCAACTCTTGAAAGTTTCCTTTGAAGAAAAATCTCAAATGAGAAACATTTATATATGGAAATATTTACATAGTATTTTCTAATTCCAAATCCTAACATAATACTGTACAAATGGCAATCAAAACATTAAAGGTTTAAACCTCTCATTCAAACTTTATGAATTAGAAGTATACAACACCATGAAATTAAAAATTAAAACCAAAAAACCCTGTAACCAGTTTCATCAGTTCCTTCAGAAACTACAAATAGAATTTCCATATGAATTTGTTCTGTAAAGATGGTCAGTAAAATTATTAAAAAAAAATTAAAGCACAGTAATCATTTAGCTAAAATTGGATATTAACATTGGCAGTGTTTTTTCAAGAAAATACAGACTTTTGGTAAAATAAGGTTAGATAGATGCGTTTTTACTTTTGATTTTTTTAACTTTTTTGTCTGCACCATGTGGCATGTGGAATCTTAGTTCCCTGACCAGGGATTGAACCCATGCACCCTGCATTGGAAGCCTGGAGTCTTAACTACCAGGGAAGTCCTAGATATATGTTTTCAAATGCCTTAAACTCCTATTCCCAGGGTTGGATACTTCTAAGAAATACATTAAACTTATTCCTATGATTTGCTGCTGTCAGCAGGAAGCCTAAGCCATTCGTGAAAGGCAGTCAAGCACACTGAAGAGACATGAGCCTCATCAATCCAATTTTATTTCTAAGTAAAATTTTCTTTTGAATAAGATTTTTAACTCTGAGAAGAATAAAACAAAAGAGTTTTCAAGTGACTAAGGAACTGCAAATAAGCTCTTTGGGCAGAGACCCACCTTGTTCAGGAAAGTATCTGGCAGAGAGCAGGTGGGCAGTAGCTATTTTTTGGATGAGTGATCCAGTTATGATATTAACATACATCAGATTATAAATTCTATTCAAATGTAAACTCCTTGAGAGCAAGGACCTATTCATTTCTTGATAGTTTCAAGGTGCTTACCCTAGAAGAGCATGTTGCAATTAACACTTAATTTTGTAGAAAAAGTGAGTGGATGGTCACTGAAACTACTGCTATAATTCACATTATTTGAATTACATAGTTGATCTGTTCTTTAACCCAAATTTCTTAATTTTATGTAGTAAAAAAAAATTAAGTGAGCAGTACACTAATTGCACAGAACTCTAAAAACAAATTAATGCATCATAATTAAAAATGAGTTTGAAACAGTTCTAAAACTGAGTAAGAAAAATACCACTTAGATTTTTTAAATTAATGCCAATATTGAGAACTGCTTCTGTTATCTGTAAAAGTACACTCCTAACAAAGTGGAAATTAAGAGAGCCTACCTTGCGAAAATATAGCAAGAGATCAGTGAAATTACTAATGTTAGGGCAGCAATCTGCCATACAAAATGAATGTCCTACTAAAAGCAGCAAAGTTAAAACATTTAAATGAAAGTACATTTGAATAGTATGTTATCATCACACAAGAACTTTTTCCCTCCAAAGAAAATATGAAACATATCAAAAAACAGAGGCATTGCCCTGAGATGCTAATTAGCACACAAAAGGGGATAGGAGGTCAAAAATTTAAGTGGTACAAAAGTGAAGTGCACAACAGAGGTGCAAAAGTGCCTTTAAAAAGTGTGCTGGTTCCCCACACACCATGAGCCCCAGGAATCAAGAACACACACTCTCTGCCGTTACAATGCATACTTCCTTCCTGTCCTTTTATAATGAAAAATTCTATCTAGTATGGCAACACAGACTCACATGGAAAAGATTTAGTCCTCTTAGATAATACTTCATACATTTTTCTCTCACTTCCAGGCCTAATTTCAGTACTAATAATTCTAACAGAGGAATTTTTAACCTCCTCTTTTTAAAAGACTCTCAAAAAGTCACTAAATACGCTACAATGGCTTGAAATATAGCTTTCCATCACATATTTTAGTTATGATTTAAGATTTTGCATCTCAAAATCCTGTTCAAGTTTTTGAAATTTCCATAACTAAAAACGTGAGTCTACTTAAAAAAATTAAGGTATTATAATAGGAATTTAGTTTTCAGTACTCGTAATCTATACTAGAAGCACTGGTGTTCATTAAATGTACATTAGGATGTTTACAAAGTTGTAACTTAGAACATTATCATACTTTGTACCCTACCACAGATTTAGACATTAAGCATTTACGTGTAAGTACAGAATTGGTTCTGTAATTTCAACTGTTACAGATTTCTAAATATAAATAATACTTGTTTTTCTTCATGCTGGCTTAAGACATAAATTAAATACAATTAAGTTACATTTAATCACCTCACAAATAAGAAGGATAATGAAAAGATTTTGCTGGTATGTAACTACTTAAGTCTGAGACATTTCACATTATTGTTTCCAACACTTCTCTAACCTTACATTAGTTTTAAGGTTATATATACAAATATGTATATTTCCAAGTTAGGAAAAAAAACAAATATAACAAAATTGTACTACTTTTTATATACAGTTTTGATTTTATATTCGGTGTTGTACTTACATCTTACATTTTAAGAGGTTTGTAGTGGGGAATCTGGGAAAGATTGAGGGCAGGAGGAGAAGGGGAAGGCAGAGGATGAGATGGTTGGATGGCATCACCAACTCAATGGACAGGGGTTTGGGTAGACTCTGGCAGTTGGTGATGGACAGGGAGGCCTGGCGTACTGCGGTTCATGGGGTCGCAAAGAGCAGGACAAGACTGAGCGACTGAACTGAACTGAGTGGGGAGTCTGCTTACTGAATGATTAAATTAAATGGTGAGTAAATACAACATTCAACCCAAAGAGACAAAAATACAGAAGGGCACAGCAGTAGTCTTTTCAATGTGACAGATTTTAAAACTTACTTTCACGTGCTTAATCAGAGCAATTGAAACCTAAATTAGGTTATTTTTATATCTACAACTCTTTAAGCTGTTGGAACTTATTTTTAAAGACCAACTGCTAAATATTATCAACATGCTGTATTTCAAATCACTAAATACATCATAACTACCTGGATTCTAAAGACATGGGCCACTTAAAGTCACAGGCACGCACACACACACACACACACACACACACACACACAAAACCGCACATGCCCCCACCACTGTTAGATTGTCAAGTTTTGACAATTATTTTAATTATACAGTAGGCAAATTCAAGCTGATACACATCTTAATGAAAAAAATAAGTAGCCAGAAAGAAACCCACTTAAAAACAGATCAAGGAACAACACAGACTTAAATCTTTTATAGTCTTTCTGATAGAAGGGAACCAGTTCCATCTATGTCTTGAGTAACAGTATTTTCCAATTAAGAGACTAACATCTTTCTCCATGAGAAACTTCTCATTTACAATGGTACGGTGTTTTAAAATAAGGGTGGAGTAAAGGAGGAATTACACATACATGATTAAATTTCTTGTTTGTTAAATCAAGCTTTATTGATAAAATGGAATTCAGAATATCTTACTAGGAACAGCAGCAGGCCCAGCCAATCATGATAGCAAAGACGTGGCAGTCTCCTACCATTTGTAGGAAGCTGCTGCTTATCAATTAGTAATTAAATGTACGGACTTGTAAAAGAGGTGCAAAGAATCAAGGCATTTTAGCCCCAAGATTGATATTTTTATGAATATATTCTATTACCTGCAATACTCATGGCAACAAGGAAAGAACCTAAAAGACAGTTAAATGAAGGGACCAACTTTATCAACAATTCCAATCCCACTGCCAAGAACATTAAAATAGTTTTCAATTAACTCCCTGGATATTCAGCTTTGTAATAATATTTTGGAATAATTCTCCATAATCAGGTGCACATGTGAGTGTCTAGCTGACACGGCTGCTGCTCTTCCTGTCCCAACCCCAAGTCCAAACACAACACGACTTGAAAGGGCTATATATCTGTTGCATCACACAATAAGCCAAATACTTCTTGTAACTTCGATAGTGATTTAAAGCAGTTCATAATTAAATATGAGCATTTTTTACAAGGACAATTATACTTTACAAAAAACAAAATCATACAACAAAAATTGCTGGAGTCTGATTTACAACATATGAATTATGGTTTGAAATCACGTTTACATGAGTCTCAAATTTACAACAACAACAAAAAATCAGCTCTGGGCTAGCTGTTGTACTGCTGAAGTTCTCTGGTGTAATCACTCTCACCCATGTCACATATGCCCTTCTTAAAAGTTGAGGATGGATGTTTAAAAGGTTCAGTGAAGTTGAGCTGTACTCTCCTTTGGAGGTGAAGGTAAATCCATGACTAGATGAGCAGTTTTACCACATATCATCAGTAGATGTAGAGTCCTTTATAGAAGGAAACAAAGCAAAACAATGAACTAAATTAAAACTTAAAGATGCATTATTTTCTGGGTAATGCAGAAAGATAAGGTTTTGTAAGGTTGATCTTTAGGATATAAATGTTTTCTATAGTATATATGTACATGTGTTTATGAAATATCAATAAATAATCTGTTCCAAGAATTCTAACAAGGCAAAAGAATCGGACACAACTTAAGAGACTAAGCAACAACAAACTTTCAGTTTGGTTTTGGAGTAAAACATTTAATAAAAGATTTTACGATGAGGTTGACCAAATATATTTCTAAACCAATTACCAGAAAGAATTGTATTTTTCTCTTCAATAAACCCAATTTATTTTTAGAATATTATCTTTATAAATTTTTATTGCATAGAAAGCTCAAGTAACAAGAGATTTGAGGATGCTCCATAATGCAGTATATGAAATATTTCAGAGCTAGGCCGAAATGATTTTAAGTTACCAGTTTTTTGTAATCACAACAGTACAATCGAACTGTGATAGAAAACTTAATTGAAGAATGTTGCTGTTGTTCGGTTGCTCAGTCGTGTCTGACTCTTTTGCAACCCCATGGACTACAGCCCATCAGGCTCCTCTGTCCATGGGATTTCCCAGGCAAGAATGCTGGAGTGGGTTGCCATTTCCTCCTCCAGGGGATCTTCCCAACCCAGGGATCAAACCTGCATCTCCTGCATTGGCAGGCGGATTCTTTACTGCTGAACCACCAGGGAAGCCCTAATTGGAGAATACAGGCATTCTAAACATCTTTATATAAACAGAATTCTCTACTTTAGTATTTAAATGAAATGTGTAGCATTCCTGGCAAAGAATGGCTATTAGTGGAGATGGGCATTCTGAGGTTCTGTTACAGCTGCTTACAAAATTCAGAATTAATTCAAGAATCTGAGCAGAGGTATTCCCAACTTCAAAAAAATATTTAGTGGGAAAAAACTTCTGAAGTTGATTGCTTGAAGAGGCTTAAAAAAATAATTAAAAGGGACTTTCCTCCTGTTTGAGTTAGATGGCCACTCACCATGATTAATGTCCTCAAGCACTAGAACTGTGATGCAGGCAGAATTCAGAGCACTCAATCAGGGGTGTGTGTAAGAGAATGGGTGCAGTAAACAGCTCTGCAAAAACAGGCAGGAAGGCTATGCATTTAGAGCGGAAGGGAAGGGAAAGCAGAAGGAGCTAAAATGTTACTTACGGTGTCATCATTTTTGTACGGATTCAGTCTATTGTAAACGGCTTCAATTACATTCCGCCTAAATTTAGGAAAATAAAAACAAACAGTTAATTCTTCAGAGCACGAGACTACTTAATAACTCATAGCCAGGTGTTCATTAAAATGTCAAGGATAATCATTCACAAATTATTTTACTTTTATTTCTTACGGTCAATAACTGAGCCTTATCTTAAGATATTTGGGCCCCATTGTTAAAGTACAGGTGAATTTACTCTAAAATGTACCATTCTACTAATACAATTAATAGAAGAAAAAAGTCATGGTTGGAAAAAAAAAAATTCAATCTATATGGTCTATGTCTATTTGAACTGGCATTTAGTTTTTATAAGTCAAAAATAATGATGCATTTCTTAAGAAATAATATTAATATATTCTGGTTAAGAGTTGAATGTTTTGAAGAAGATATAACTTCAACATCTGTTATGATAAAATAATTTAGATATTTTACATATAGGTTTCTGCTTTTCATAATGTCCCTTTAAAAAAGCTCTATTAAAACTGAAATGTCAAATATGATATTTCCCTGGCAAGTCTAGTAATTACTTTTTGAATAATATTTTATTAAAAATAAGAATCAGTAGTGGTACTTCTGAGTTATAGCCTCCCTACTTACAAAACTGACTTGAAGCAATTTTATATTCAATCATTTCACAGAATATCATATTGGAAGAAACAATTTCCAAGATATAAATGCTTCAAACAGGAAGTTTTGAACAATTACATGAAATTTTTAAAAACATGGCTACACTAACAGAACAAGTAGAGAAACAGGAAATTTGTCAGTATATCTTTGTAGATCAATTACATGAATATCTGAGGTAACAATGTCTTAAGCCTTGAATTGTAAAACTGCATAAAGTCTCCACTGCAGTTTACAAAGATCCAAGGTTAATATGTAACACAGGTTAAGTCCAGTTCTATGAACTAAAGTGCAAAGAGAAAAAAACAAGAAATGCATCTACCTATCTTCCTTCACACCAAAACCCAAGCAACCAGCATCAACAACCCAAAACATCGGGAAAATCATAGATACAGAGAAATGGCCCAGGAAGAGGAAGAGACAGATGCTCATCCATGTAGTATTCAGTTATCCAGGGATTAACAAAATAAAATTATAGTAGGAATAATACTGACATCTGGAATTTTATAGTACTATGTAATTTAGTTTAAAATTTTTTTACTGTATTATCTCATTTACACTCTATGAGATAATCAGTGTAATCCAAGCCTCCACTGAAGACAGCCTTCAGTATAATTAGTTACAATGATATTCTGATACCTGTATATCATTAACACTGAAAAACAATGAACCACAAGTTAACATTCTGAAGTCACTTTAGAAATTATGTAAACACACGTCTGACCTACAGACGACACCAAACATTTTCATGTACCCAGACAAATGCTAAGAGTGTTCAAAATGTAACTTACTTGCTCGCCAGTTCACCCCCTGGTGGGAGGCTGGGTATGTTCTCACTCGCTAATGTGCGCATCACATGGACTAAGTCAGGGACGCCGTCCCCCTGCTTCTTTATGATTTCTGGGAATCAGAAGTACTTTTTTTGTAAGTGTTATTCAAATTTAATAATAATAATAAAAAAATGAAACAAAGATAACTTAGGTTTTTAAAGACGGCATATACATCTGAGATTTTCTAAACTAGTACAAGGGAAAAAAAATCAAATTGAACTTTGAAAATTGATGACAAAAGGATGTACAAAATGATACAAGAGATACAATACTTTCCAGATTAACTTCAAAGACCAAATATAAACAAGATAAAAATGTGAAAAAATTTCATATTAAAATCAATATATTACATAATCAGGGATACATGTGTACAAATGAGGATATTCCTCTCAAGATGCCAGCTAGTTACTTCAGAGGAGATTAACTCCTCTAATTAGACTGGAAGCATGTTTCCTGAATTTTGCCCTGAAAATACAATACACATTAAAAAAAAAATAAACAATTTCAAGATCTTAAAAAAGAAAAAAGAAACCCTTTAAGTATGTGGGATTTACTGATGATATACTAACACAAATCATATTTACATGTTTATATTTACAAAATGATACTTAAGTAGCATGGGCAGAATAGGTCATACACTTGAACCCCACTTGCTGCTTAACTTCTGTCTAAAGTATCTTTAAGCAATAAACAGATATATACCATTTCCTGTTGATTATCTGAACAAGGCCTACAGAATGGAAAAAAAGTCTAAATTACTAAGTTTTCTAAAAAGAAAAAATTTGATAAACCATACAACTGTATTTAAAATTGTTAATTTTAAAACATTGTTATTAAATGGGAGTGATATGATCTACAGTATTGCCATGCAGATGCATATTGTCATTCATACCATAAAATACCAATCCATTATGCACAGACAACTTAAAGAGTGCTCAAATTATTTAAGTCCAAGAAGTCTTTACCTGGAGTTTTAGCATATTTATTCTAAACATAAGATCATGCCAAGAGTATTTGTGGTTATATGTTCAATTTTTTGTTTTCAATTATTTATACTAAGAAATTTTCTTTGTCATCACTGGATATCATTCTAGTTCTCAATCTGTAAATACCGTTGAAAATAACAATGCATGTAAAGATTTTTCATCCTTCAATCAAGTTTCAAAATATTAATTCATCATTAAAGGCACATATTAAAAGACAGACGCTGCTACCCATACTTCTTTAAAAGGCTCAAATTGTCCTTTTTAGGATTAAGGCCAAATTTTACCATCTTTTTTTTTAAACCAGTCTTAAATCTGAACAAAAAGCAAGCATCTCAGATTTGGTTTGCCAAGTTCCTTTATTGTATAATCTTTAACATCTAGTATATTTATTCTACATGATTCTAATGCTGGAAATTTGCTGTACAAAAATAAAGGAATTTGATGTTTACCTAAACTGCACAATTTCACAATCTAAAGTTGTAATACACTTAACATACAGTCTCTGCTAAGCCAGTACAATTATTGGACAGATAACTAGATACAATATAAATGAACACTGATGATAAATTCAACTGATGGTTTCAGGTCTGAAAACATTACCTTGAATCATCTATATTAGATGTATTATATACCTCCTTTGTTAAAATATAAAAATTAGGATATTTTAATTGTGAAGAAAATTACAGGAAGACAAATTCTTTAAAAAAATAAGACTTTAAAAACAGTCATCTCTCCTATTCCACATGGGACCATACATTTAAACTATCTGAGCATTTAACACTACACTAGCCTTGCTTCTTTCTGCTTTAAAAAAAATAAAGAAAAAGAAATTTTAAGAAATATTCCTTTAACTGCTCCTGGACTATTCATTTCAATTAGAACTGTAAAAAGACTGAGTGCTTTTATTAAAGGATATATGTGTACAGAAGGTCTACGTTTCACTTGCTCACGTATGCTGCTCCTCCCCACTTCCCTCTGCCGAGTCTGAGAAATTCTATCAGTTATCTCCAAATTAGCAACTTTAAAGCTTGTGCAGTCAGTAGCAAATAAAAATATAAAAACAACACAGGTATCCTCTTAAATTGGCTTAGAAGGACCACAGCCTTAAGTGGTATAGTTTAAATTATGAGTTCCATCTTTTCACAACCCTAGAGAGTCAAGTATTTTGTAGATCACAGGAGGAGAGCCAAAAAGCCTTTGTCCTTTTCTGTGGTGTGGACAGAGAAGCCACAAGTACTCAATGCAAATAAAATGAGGTTTAGTAGGTCACAGCAATTTAGCGAAGGCATGTATTTAAAGAAAGAAAAAAAGAAAAAGGTACTCAGTGCCTGTTTTAAAAGCTGACTGCAGTATTTATCACTTTTTAAGACACATAATTTTTACAATGCAAATAGCTACATTCTTTCTATGTTTTTAAATATAGTAGTGATTTTAATTAATGTAATATTTAGATGCAGTCTCATCAAATCTACCTTGGTAAAGAATATTGTATTTCTGACATAATAATCTCCAATTGAACAATACAAGTATAACAAAACTTCAACATACCCAAAATATTGAGTATTAATGTAAAGTTTGTTCAGATGGCAATTCCTGCTTGATAATAGGCAATATAAAACTTAATATTATAACATAAAATTACCTATCTAAAGCAATTATTTATAATTGCATCAAAAACTTAAAAGAGTGCACACTAAAGAGAAAAAGCAGCAATTCATTTCTAAAATTTGACTCCATTTCTTAGTAAATAAAACTAAAGTAGGTATTTCTTTAAATCAATAAGAAAACATGTACTCTCAAGTTAAAATGCCAATAAATTAAATATCAACATATCCCAATATATATTCTTCTTCAGGTTTTGTATTTTTCCAAGAACAAACAGTGTGAACCAATGTGCTATAACTTGGTAGCATTCTAAATATTTTCTTACTGTATTATGTATAAATAACTCATATTGAAATGAATTATTTAAAACAAAGAATTTCCAAGACCCTTGGTAATAGTGAGGAAACAAACTCAACTGAATAGTATGCTTAGTAAGTGAAATACTAAATACTACGTATATACTAGTAATATATATATCACTATCAAGAAGGGGAGAGAAGTAAAAAACAAAATAGCAACTCTAAGACAGTACTGAAAATCAAAACCAATCACCATTCTAACACCAGACTAATTATAACTGGTATCAAACAGTAAAAGGAGAGAAAACAAAATTAAAGTGCATATTAATTTTAATAACGCAGGCACAACAGGATTTAAGTATATAGTATATCAATGTTTACATGGTATTAAAGGTCTTTAATAGTGTATCAATGTTTACATGCTATTAAAGGTCTTTAACGTGCAAAGTAATAACATTAGGAGCCAAAAAAAATGCATTTTAACACTATCATAGGCATGTCAAGTTTTTCCTGCTTAAAGAAACTGCATAATCTACAAGTTTATTGCATAATGCAATAAACTGTAATTCTCTGGGGATACTTAATATTTATACCAAATAGCAGCTGCATCAATAATTATTTTAACATTTTTCAAATATTTAAAGGCATCACACCTGAGAGTTACAAATGCCTTTCTAATTGTCTCAAAGTAATCTGCAGAATTATGATAAATACACTTCTGTAATTTCCAACTTAATTTCTTGATTTTATTCAGCATTTACATTTCTGCCAGGTAGAGACCTAGTATGTCTTCTATTCAGGTTTATGTTGTCGAGGTGAGGCAGTTTATGGCTTAGGCAAGAAGCTTTGAAATAGTTTAAACTAAATTTTTAAAAGCTGTGGCACATGAAAGGTATTAATATGATCTTCAAGTTCTTATTTTAAAAGTCCCAAAGATGTTAAATTCATAAACACAGCTTTACACAAAAGATGGCATTCAAATTATCACCATCATAATTGATTTATAATAAACCATAAATCAGACTTTCCTGGCATAAAATTATTCACGCCAGTGAATTAATCAAGAATTTGAAAGCATACAAACATTTTACCAAGTATCCTGAACAGAATGTACTGGGCCATACTTGTTATTTCTAATATAACTGTAATAGGACAGTAACAAATACCTCAACAGCTACTACAGAAATGCTCTTTCCCACTTCTGTACACTAAACACCAAATGTCGAAGCCATGTATGTAAAGATCTAAAAGTTAACATGTTATAAAAGTTTGATTATGCTGAGGTTTTTCTTTAATAGAGCTACTTATTTTTTGTTAAATGATCCACCTTCTACTCTGCTTTCCAGGTATTTGTCCAACTCTTCCTCCTTCTTCACTGCTTCTGGCGATACTTTGGGTGCATTTGGAAAACAGATCAATATCACACTCATGTTGTCTCGACTTCCCTGGGAAGAAAAAAGTTTGAGAAAACATTTTGTTTCCTTTTTGTAAACATTTCCTTGAGAACGTTGACAGCCATGTCAATTATACTTGTTCTAGTGAGAATATATATTGTTTATAAGGAGAGAAAAATATATATGCACATGTGGAAGGGCATCCCCCAAATACATATATAGTACCTATGGTATATAGAATAACCAATACTCTAAAAGACAGGAAAGAAACACTACAGGTTAAATTCTACTGCAACAATAATTTTTTAAAGTTTTATAAAATAAATATTTCTGAACATTTACTGGTGGCCTACTTAACATGAAGTGATACCTAACACAAATACACATACACACATACATTGAATTCAACAAGGTAGAAAATTCTAGTGATATTCCTTACAACATGATTTCATCTGTAGTTACACATATACCTGACAAATTTACATTTAAAATAAGTTGTGGGACTAACTGATTTGCTTCATAATAAGTAGAAATATGGAATTAGAAAACTACATATATAAAGTTAATAAACCAATTTTTAACTTTCATAATTTTTTAAAAAAGGCTTAACTTTTAGGAAGTACATTCATTTAAAGACAACTACATATTCAAAATACTATAATTACAATACTTGAATCAATTTTGGCCTCCCCACAAATCACTTCCTTTTCCTATTATTAATAACAACTGGGAGTTACCTTCTATAGAGCATAATGCAGAATAGATAAAGTGCAATCTGAGTCATAATTTACTAATATCTGAATCTGATAAGTCTCCTAAGAAAACAGCTTTTAACTTAGTTAACAAAGTATTTAATTCTTAAGTGCTAAAGGATAAACCTAACAAATGAATGCCACTTTGTCCCTTTTTTATACTAAAAGGGACAAAGAACATAAGCATCATTGTTTTGTTCCTCCTAAATTCAAAAATTAATAGTGTGCACTATCAAGTTGTTGTTCTATTGATTTTTAACACATTTGTTAGATGTTACATAAATTTGATTTGTGTTGGATGTTACATAAACCTGATTTTTAATTAAGATTTTAAGTATAGCTGGCAGTTGTGCATATAAAACTACAAACAGTATTCTATTGACTTACTATTTCTGAGTTTTAAAAGAAAATCAGACATATAGCCTCTGAAGTTTTATAAAATCAGAATTTTTTAAACAAACAAAAGAAAACCCACACAGAATTAGTAAGCATTATTGACAAAATACAGCAGTATGGTAGAAAGAACACTGCACCCAAGTCAAGGGCTTGGCTTCTAGTGTCAGTGCTGCAACTAAAGGAGTCAACTGTGTAACATTTAAACTTCTCTTAAAAAGGGAGCAACATGTATCAACTACACAGTCTGCTAAACTAGGTACTTTATATGTATACATTAGCTCATTAATTTCATTCCCCAGACTTATGAGCTCAATATTATTTTCTTCATTCAAATAGCTGAGAGAGGTTGAACAATTTGTTCAAGGCTGTACAGTACAAAAGTAACAGAGGTAAGATTTGATTCCACCTCTGACTCTTAAGTCCGCAGAACATTCTGTTGCTCATCTACACAATCCCATTTGATTATCCAGACAACCCCATAAGACAGGGTAATAATATCTCTCTCTTGAACAATTAAAGAAACTGATTTTCCAGATAGTTTAAAGAGCTTACCTGAAGTCATACACAGTCTCATACCAAGTGCTTCTGACTCCATGTCCAAGGCTATTTCTATTATGTAACACCAAATCATCACTAAATCCTCTTTTGGTGCTACAGATTCATTAGACCAGTCTCAAAGTATTTCCATAAATATACTGAGATATCACATGGTAAAATAAAATATTAAAATTCTAAAATGCCTTTCATTTATAAACAATGAGGCTTAACTCTTTCCATTCCCCTTTCGAAAACATTCACTTTGATACAGTCTTTTCACCTTTGATAATACTGCATAATATCAAAAAACTCAAGTAATTATGGTTACTAGAAAAGACTAAACATCCAGATTATAACTCTTGCATTTATGGTAACTGGACAACTTATTTCTAAGAAGTACTCCTATATTCTTTTCATAACTGATGAAAAGTATTCAGCAACTGTACCAAAAACTTATTTCCAAACTATAGGCTCTAAGATGATTTTATACTAGAGTAGTAATTAAGATGACATAAAATCATTTCATCTTAAAAAAAAAAAGTCTAGCTACCTTATACAAACAGGTGTCGACTACTTCATTGCAAACTTTCTCAAGGTCATCAGTGACTTCAAGTCTGGATCTTACAAAATCACAGAGCTCTTCATTTCCCATGACATCCCAAATACCATCACATGCAAGAATAATGAATTGATCATCTTCTTCAGATCTTTCAATATCATGGACTTCAGGCTCTGGTGAAACAAGCTGCTCTGTAGGACCTTTTCCATGGACACATTTGTAATCAAAGTCCCCAAGGGCCCTCGACACAGCCAGAGAGCCATTCACACGCTGAATCATTACAGAACCACCTGCATTCTGAATTCGTTCTTTTTCCAGCGGATTACTTGGTTTGTGATCTTGTGTGAAGAAGTAAACTTTCCTGTTCCTACAAAGTAAACCTCTTGAGTCTCCACAGTTAATGAAGTAAGTATGTTGAGGAGAAATTAAGACACCCACAGCTGTTGACCCACTTCTATCAGCACCATGTTTCTTCTCTGACATAACTCTCATATGTTCATCAATCTCCAGGAAACCTGTTCTGATTCCATTCTTTACATTTTCCACAGAAGGTGCTCCTGCAGACCCTTTAAAATCCTGGTTATTGGTGATGTGATCTAACAAATGCTCACAGCAGTATTTGGCAACCTGAGAACCAGCATGCCCATCATACACAGCAAAGAATGACCATGTTTCAAGTCCACTTGGCAAACCGATCACAGCAGTATGTGCATCCTCCATTTCAACTCGCCAGCCTTGCATGCTGCTTAGCCCATATCGCAACCCATTACCCTGCCCCTGGGCATTATGTTTTTCCATCTTTGGTTTGTCTAAAAATGCTCCCATTATGTCTTGATTCTCTAGGTCTGCAAAGGAAGAGAAACAAAAAAGTTAATAACTATCTTATAAACAAATTATCAATACAAATCCAACAACCTTTCTTTAAGAGTGAAGGAAATACAAAGAAAGCTTAAATATCTTAGTTGAGTATTCAGGATTTTCCAACGTTTGGTTTCAAATGTCTAGTTTTATTCCTACTACATGAACCCTCTGAAAAAGTAAAAAAAAAAAAAAATCTACTTACAATGATCCAAATTTGCATGCTCCTTCTCTTAAGCCTTTCCTCATGTCAGTGCCCTTAACTGGGATTTCCTGCCTTTCCTCCTTCCTTATATAAGTAAGTATACCCGTCCTTTAAATTCTAGCTCAAATTCTATGTTTTCCATAGGTTTTTCAGTCTTTGATAAGCCAATAAGTTATTAAATTACTGTAAGTGGTTCAGCCTCAGTATTCAAGCTGCAAAGCAATTATACACACCTATAACAAAATTTACCTACTGTAATCTAACCTAGTGGTAATAACACATATCATTATGATAGCACTTTATAATCACTCAGTATAAACAGTAAAGGAGATCAAAAGGTCTAGGACAGTGCTGTGGACAATCTGAAAGCTTGGCTAACCTTTCCCAATAATCAAAAGCTAAAACCCCTGGCTTGGAATGGGCTTACAAGGCAGGAAGACAGTGTTCAGGATTCAGGTTGGCCTTTACTTGAGTAATGGCCTAGGAATGTAGAGACTTGGGGTCTAAGTCATCAAATGAGTCAATAACTGAATGCAATCTGAAAGAAGGATAGAATCAGATTTAATGAAGGTGGAGAGAGATGGGTAGGAGTGGGGAAAGTACCTAGGTAAATTAGGACGAACTTAGGAAATTGGGAATTTGTGATGCTATGATGCTAAGCTCTGAAAAGAAGTTGGGAAGAGAAAGAGGAAGAAGAAAAACAACTCGGGAAAATTTCCCGGCAACCTCTCGCTCCTTCTTTATCCTACTAAGGCCAAACTAATACACAGCAGAGAAGTCTGGCTGATTGGTATGATAAAATGATCTCCTGCCTACTTGTCCACTTACATTACAGTTCCACTAATGGAAGTTAAATAATGAAAACTAGTCTTTATTCCTTTCTTAAGGTGGTATTCATCAAATTGATACATAATATGGCAAGGGTGAGTGTTTTGATGGGACAAAGATACAATAGTAATGACATCTTAATAGCAGACAATGTGTAAGATGAACTCTAAATCATTCTAAGTTTTGCAAGCATTACTTCATTTATTCTCAAAAAAACTCTGAGGTAGGTTATAATATTATGTTCAATTTATATTAAGTTGATGAAAAAGTAACTGTGATTTCAAACTTTGAATTTTAAATCATTGTAACCAGGCTCAAACATATCTTTATTAATCAAAATAGGAACCATTACAATCAACAATTTTGCCAACAAGAAATAAGTTTGTTTAATCCTGCAGAGCAAAAATCCATGCTTGGGGGCTTCCCTGGTGGCTCAGTGGTAAAGAATCTGCCTGCCAATGCAGGAGACATGAGTTCAATCCCTGATCCAGTAAGTTCCCACATGCCTCAGAGCAACTAAGCCCACACACCATAACTACTGAGCTTGGGCTTGAGCCCAGAAACTGCAACTACTGAGCCCATGTGACCCAACTACTGAAGCCTGTGCTCCACAACAAGAGAAACCACCACAGTAAGAAGACCCCGCTCTACCCAACTAGAGAAAAGCCCACACATCCATGAAGACCCAGGACAGTCAAAAATAAATAAATAATAAAAAATCCATGCTTGGGGATTCAATCAACTCTAGGAAAGCATTTTCTGCCTCCTGCTGATTGTGGAAGCTATTTTCCCTGCAAAAAGTTGTCAAGATGCTTGAAGAGGCAGTGGCTGATGAGCCGTCAACTGAATGTGGCGGACGAGGCCCAACTTTATTCAGCTTCTGAAGTACTGGTTCTGTGAGGTGCAGTCAGGCACTGTGGAGAAGACTGGGCCCTTTCTGTTGACCAGTGCCAGCCAGCTGCAGGCACTGCACTTTTCGGTGCATCTCATAGATCTGCTGAGCATACTTCTCAGATGTACTTGATTTTACCAGGATTCAGAAAGTTGCAGTGGATCAGATGGGCAGCAGACCACCAAATAGTGACCATGACATTTTTTTGGTGCAATTTTGGCTTTGGGAAGTGCTCTGGAGCATCTTCTTGGTCCAACCACTGAGCTGGTTGTCGTACTTTTCATTGTATGTCACAATCCAGTGGAGAAATGGTTCATTGTTGTTGCACAGAACAAGAGAGGAGAACACTTCAAAATGATTTGGTTTTCAGTCAGCTCGTTAGGAACCCACTTATTGAGCTTTTTTACTGTTCCAATTTGCTTCAAATGCTGAGCGACTACAGAATGGTCAAAGTTGGGTTCTTGAGCAACTTCTCATGTGTTTTAAGAGGATCAGCTTTGACAATGGCTCTCAACTGGTCACGTCACTGTCAACTTCCAGTGGCTGGCCACTACCATCCTCCTCTTTAAGGTTCTCGTCTCCTTAGCAAAACTTCTTGAACCGCCACTGTACGTTCTGTCAGCAGCTCCTGAACCAAATGAGCTGTTGTGAGCTGTCTCCACTGGTTTATGACCCACTTGAACTCAAATTAAAAAGTTGCTTGAATTGGCTTTTTGTCTAACATCATTTCTATAGCCCAAAATAAACAGCAAGTAATAAAGTCATTAGCAAAAAAACCAAAGTGAGAAATGTGCATTAAAACAGTAATATAACTACATTTAAGAATGTATTTCAATATCCAATGGCAAAGTTCAACAAAGCAAAATTGCAGTTACTTTTGCACCAACCTAATAGATGAACTTTATTGAGACTAAAAAACTCGGCCAATGTCACTCATCAGAAAAATTTAGGGGAATTAGGACTCAAATTCAAGTCTGCCTCACTCTAAAGCACCATTTACTACTAAGGCAATGGTCTCAGTCATGGCTGTACAAAAGAACTTATCTGTGGACTTTTTGAAAAAATCAAAATTTAAAAAAAATTAGAATTTCCACAGTAGGACTGCAACCTAGGCATCTGTGTACCACTGGTAAAGATTAGAGATGGAAAGCCTAGGTAGGAAGATAGAAGATGATAGAGCTGTAGTGAGGTTAAGTCATCTGCTGAAGGTCAACAGCAAGTTGCCTCATCTCTGTACCTCAATTCCTTTTGCGAGGCTAAAGGGGAGGTGGGAAGGGTTACAGCCAGCCCTCCATATCTTCGGGTTTCACATCCATGAATATGAAGGGCTCACCATATTCACTGTACTACACTTATAGAAGGGACCTGAGCATTCACATATTTGGTATCCACGGGGGCTCCTGGAATCACTCCCTGCAAATAATGTTGGACAACTATATTCTTAGGACACTTGATATCACTAATCTAGCATTCTTTTTTCATCTGTACAGTGGGCATATTAACACTTACCTCTGAATGCTGCTGCAAAAGTTTAAATGAGGTAATGGCTGCAAAGTAGTTACATTGAGTATAGCAAAAATGAGGAACTCTGCAAATGGAAACTATTTAATTATTACTACATTCTCACATACACAGCCAATCTAGATTCTGTTATTACCTAATAGGGACCTTACACTTTTATAGAAAATTCCAGTAGTTAATTTTCTAAATATACACATGAAACTACCAAATAATTCTTTGAAACTTTTGAAAAAATATATATTAGGAATATAAAAATGTAACAAACCAAGTCAATCATATGACAAAATTTTAGGTCCAGCTCTTCTGCAAATGCAAAAATACAGTCAAAATAATAATAATTAATAATTATTAACCAATTAATAATTTTGTCTGGAGTTTCACACACTTAAAAATAGCCATTTAGAAATCTTACCTCCTTGAATTCTGAATAATTTGCAGAAGCCTAGTGAAGCAGTTATATAAAAATAATACTTATCAGAAATTATATATAAGTAAGTAACTTCATAACTGTCATACATCAGCTAATAATGCTCGTGTTGTGATGCAACCTAGCATGTGCTCAGAGTTGACTAAATAAAATTAGTAGGCTAAAATGTAGGCTTTAAAAAGACAACATAAAAGGCAGATAGGCATGGAAGATAGTCACCAAAGAAAGCAGAAACTTCTTCTAGTGTCATTTTTTCCTGTGCCTACTCTATATAATTTGTTTTCTAAACTACCAAGGATAAATGACCAAAAAAAGAGGAGAGAAGAGGTAAAGAAGAAGAGAAAATAAAGGAAGAGAAGCAAGAAATCTCAACTTTTATTTTTGGGTCTAACAGCAAATAATAGTGCACTAATTGCAGTTTCTGGCGATGCCAATCTCAAAGACTCAAACTAAATAAAATATATTAATAAGCAAAGAACAATAAGGACATATTTTTAAAGATTCAGAAGTTAAACTTCAACCTTGACTTTTTTATTTGTTTGGTATATTTTGCCTGCCACAAAGCTCTGTGTCCTGGGGCATCTCCAGTGAGTTTCTTGCTTTGGTTAATCTCCTGATAGCATTAACTTGTCTTTAAACAGATATTATAGGAATGGTACATGTATAATACCCCTTTTTAGTGCTAGTATATTTGGTAATATCTTTCAATTATCTTCATAATAAATGCCAACTTTGCAGGATCTAGATTTCTTTATCCTCAGCATTTACAGGTATTACTTCATTATTGCCTATCATCTGACATTGCAAAGAAGTTTGAGGCCAGCAGCATTTATTTTTGGCATATTTTGTCTAAATTTTCATTAAAAAAAAAAAATTTTAACTTCATTAGAGTATAGTTGATTCACAGCTTCCCTGGCGGCTCAAACAGTAAAGAATTCACCTGCAATGTCAAAGGCCTGGATTTGATCCTGGGTCAGGAAGATCACTGAGAAGGGAATGGCCGCCCACTCCAATATTCTTGCCTGGAGAATTCCACGGACAGACTAGCCTGGTGGGCTACAGTCCACGGGGTCACCAAGAGTCAGACAGGACTGAGTGACTAACACACACACGG